TGTGGGGCTGGAACTCACAACCCTGAGATAAGAGTCAGCCAGGAGCCCTGCTTTGCTTTGCTTTTGAACCTTTGGAGGGAGTTTTAAGAGCTGTGTCTTGCCTCCACCACTAATCCTCTTTTTCTATTGTCTTATTACACTTTTCATTAACATAATCATCCCCAAGTTCTACTGCTTACCCCACACAAATGAAGACAGACTGATTTCTAGGCAATTAACCCCCCACTGGGTGTCATTTTGAGTATATATGTTGCTGGTGTTTTAAGGCCTAATCAAAGAAATGGAAGTACAATATATGGATGTAAGGAACTCAAGTAGAGAAATGACAAGCTGGCCAAAAGGAGCAAGGAGGAGTGAACCTGACAAGGAGCCGGGGCAGATCCAAGAACAGTTCTGTATCCTTCCAACACTGCACCCATGACAGCTGCTGAGAGCTTATTATATTAGTTATGGAACGATCCCAAGACACTGAAACAAAGGATTTAATAAAGATGGCACATAGTGTCATGGAAGGGCCTTCCAAAACACAGAAGCACTGTTCCTTCTTAAAGAAAAACACATCTGTATTTCTTACAGAGGAATCATATAATCAGTTAAAGAGAGACATTATAATGAGCAGATATAGTCCAAGCTGGAATTCCTACATACTGTACCTGAAAGAAAGCAGAGATGGCAAAAGCCTAATGACAGACCTTCTAGGTTCTCGAACGTTTACAAAACCTCAGAAGAGACACTCACCTTTCTAATGTTTAATCAGTAAAATAAGTACATCTGTCAGTCTGAGAAGTTATGTTGAAGGCTTAATGAGTACTTACAAATCAATATAATCCCCCAAGTGAACAAATAATATGGCATTTATGTTTCTCATAAAGAATGTCATGATGCCTTTAATCCTTTGAGGATTAAAAAAAAAGGTAAGGGGATTAGGTAGATGATTTACGAGCTTTGTCTCATCCTCTACCACCACCCAAAATGCAGCCATCCAAAGAGAGATCAGCTCCCAGCATTCCAATCACACTGGAACTCTGGCTGAGTAACAACTCCAAGGAAATGTAGGCCAGGTACCTTGTCACCTGTACCTCCCTGCTACCAGCCAACTAATAGATTCTCAGTTATGAAAGAATCCCATGTAGAACGTCTGTTTTAATACTGCTTTGCTCCCAGAAAAATTTAGGCCTCAATGATAAAAATCCTAGGAAACACCCCTTATCACATTATCAAGTTATGTTGAGTCCTTTAGAAGTATACGAAAGGACTGCATGCTCAATATTATTGTCACTTTTTTAAATGAATTGAAATGTTTTTGCCCAAAATTACTTCCATTCATGGCATAAGTAACAGAACAGATGCTGACATTTTACATGTAGATGGTTCCTCAGTGAAGCAGCACTTAATTAAAAATGGGGATTTGAGAGATTTCAGAAAATTTCATGCCACCCTAATAATACCAAGTACTTAGTTTATTTTCTTTTTCATGAGCAAGCTAGCATACTAGCCTAGTATCTTTCTGTTTCATTATTACTAAATGCTACAAGGCATTTAAAACATTTTATTGAAGTAGAAAGTCTTGCAAACCAATAAAATCATAATTTTTCTCCAAACACACATGATTTTAACAGAGAAATCTAAAGTATAGAACTGTTCAAATACGCAAAGGATTTTAGTCATGAAATGTCTTGGTAATTGATAAAACAGGCACTTATGACCAGATGGAGATTTCACATGGCTGCAATTTTATGTAGACTTGGTAGAATGTTGACGAAACATTGCTGGCACTTTGGAAATAAATTTCCCTTTCAATTTGAAAACTAAACAAAACAAACCCAAAGGCTCAACTGAAACACCTTCATTCTGAAACCAGAAAAATCAGGCCTGGATTCTGATGATCAAAAGCAGAGAAGTAGCCAGTTGGCATTCAGTTGACCACCACTATGGCCTGACTCCCCTCTTCTTCCTCATCTGCTTTACGGACATACATTATTCATTTTAAAGATTTTAGAAGGTAAGCAACCAATCCCATGGTAGTTTGGATGCGCCCACATGTCATGCCATAGCCCTATTTCTAGGAACCTGTGAATATAAATAACTTCTTTCACAACAATCATTTTCAATGAACAATAAATTTAGCTGTTATTTTCAGCAAATGTGTAATAATGTAAATGAGAAAAGAAATATAAAATTATTAACCTGCTAGTGATGGAGTTCAAGGTTTTAGAAGCAGTTTGTTATCCTAAACATTTGGTAATTGGTAGGATTATTCAACAAGAAACAAAGATACACTCAAATTGTTTGATCATTCTCTGCATGTCCTGAAGATCAGGCTAACATGAATTTTATTTTGTACATTTATGAAGAAATTGTTCTCTTAAGAACAGAAAGTTAAATTCAGAGCTGTGATAATCCTTAAACCTTATCATATTACAGTTTGTCCTTTTCACAGATGACAAGATGAACTATTGAACTGAGTGTACCGATTCTCTATATTAGTATTTCAAAGAAGAACTAAGTATTTGGAGGAGTTAATCACAACATAGAGTGCATCATATGAAATTACCTCACACAAGTTTATTAAATTGACCTGTCCCATGCATACTCTGAAGTAGGATCAAAACTAATCTTTCCAAAGGACAGACAAAAGAAGTAAGCACCCAATTTTCTTTCTTTTCAATAAAAATAATTAAAACTAGTTCTTGTTTTAGTAAATTCAACTTACTGAAAATTTACTATTGCCTTTGACAGTACCACGCTGATGATTTCCCTTGAATAATCTGTATATTGGACCCAAAGAAACCATTTATTCCATACATGCATAAATAATTCTCAAATAGTTTAAAGGGTGTTGCAATTGTAATTTTAACAGCAATGCAGTAGAGAGGAGTAGACAGCACTGCACTAAATGCAAAACACTTTGGAAGCCAGTTCCAGCTGTGGTAATTAGTTTAGCTAGACAATATATTTTCTCTGGGTCTCAGTTTCTCCATTTCTAAAACAGAATTGAGAAGACTTGGCCTGCTTACAATAAAGAATCAGAAAGGATGCCTCAAAGTTCTTTGTAAACTGTTAAATACTTTATAAATTTACGGTATTATTATTTAAAATCATTACATGTATCTCTATGTCATTATATATATAAAGAATTGTAAATCATTTTTAAAACAATCAAAAATTTGAGAAGCACAAATTGCTACCCAATAATTTATGAAACTAAACACATGATTTTGCCAATCATTTTCTCACTGACTCTGCAAGGCTATTCTAACCACTGGCAGATTTGAATACATAGATCAAAGATGTTTCCTGTCTTTTAAGGACAGCACTGAAGGATTATAAGGCAATGCATTATTCACTTATAGCTAAATGGTTTGTTTTTCTTTGTTCACGAATCTAAATTAAAATACACACATTAAATACACATTAAGTTCTTACTTCTTAGTCTTACCTCTCTCATAGATAAAAGATTTTATTCAACACCATTTTTCTATGCAAATTTTAAGAAGTTTTGATGTAACTCCATCAGCAATTTCCAAAATCATTAGAGATTCATTAAATTTTATATCATAATTAATGAAAACCAAAGTTTGCTTGGTTAAAAAAAACTAAGGTAAAATTTAAGCCTTTATTTATCATTAATAAATGATTTTAGCATTTTCAGGGCACCTGGGTGGCTCGGTCAGTTAAGTGGCTGACTCTTGATTTCAACTCAGGTCATGATCTCATGGTTCCTGGGATCAAGCCCATCATCATGCTGATAGCACAGAGCTGCTTGGGATTCTCTCTCTCCCTTTCACTTCTCCTCCCCACCTCGTATGTGCATGTGCTCTCTCTCTCTCTCTCTCTCTCTCTTAAAATAAAATAAAACAAAAAATAATGATTTTTAACATTTTAATAATACTTTTTACTCAATTTGTGCTTTCTAGTTTGTTGTTGTTTTCCTAAGAGATATCTGCCCATAAGCATGAATATGGTGGACCAGGAAGGACTTTGTGTGAGTGTGTGTGTGTGTGTGTATGTGCATGTGTACAGCTAAAACTGCAGAGCACTTCCATATGCACTGTTCTGTGCACTTGACTTACGTGTTCACACATTTATTCCTCCAACAACCCTATACTGGGACTATTACTACCCACATTTTACAAAAAAGAAATTGACAGAGAGGTTAACTTTCTCAAGGCCACACAGAAATTCCTTGGCAGAACCTGGATGCAGACCAGAAAGTTTGCCTCTGTAGTCCATTCATGAATCTTAAAAATATAATACTCTGGGGGAAAAAGTAGCAAAAAATACAGATTATGATATCATTTTTTAAAGTCTTAAAATTTAAATTAAATGGTACATTATTTGAGGACACAGATACATGTGGCAAAACTATAAAGAAATCTAGGAAATTATTACTGAAAAAATTGGGGATAGGCTGACAGGCTGATGAGAGAAGGGAAGTGACTTGAGAAAGGCCTATAGGGAACTTCACTGGTGTGGGAGCCATTCTATTTCTTAAGTTGGGTAGTAGATTCACTGGTGATCATTTTAGTACTATGGGCCATAACTTACAAATATGTCGCAGCTTATCTTATGTCAAATATTTTATTGTAAAACTTAAAGAAAATATTAATCAATAAGCTATTCAAACTCTTTAACTTATTCTGTATTTATGATACATGTGAGTTGGATAAATTACTCTTCTCTGTTTCCAGAGTAAAGCAAATGCGGTCAGGGATGGCAAAGGCTTGGCATGAATATCACCACTTCCTCTCATGATGGACAGTGGTTCGTCATGGCTTGCTCCCTCCCTTATTTGGCCAATGCCTTAGAATGTGGAGAGGTCCACATAGGACTCTGAGAATTCATGACTGATTAGGAACAGGTGGTTGGGGTTACTACACCAATTTGGTTGGAGGTAGCACCCCATCATCATTGTGCTAAAGGATCCCTAGAATTCTTGCTACTGGAAAACTCTGGGATTCCCAATTGGTAACACTGATGCCTTTCAAACATGCAGTTACCTGTTAAGTTTGAAGCATCAGTGGGACTCAGTTGTAACCAGTGGCGGGCATCAGAGTCAGTCACAACATCTGTGGGAGTGCTCAGTTCCGGGTCCTCATCACAGGTTGGCCATGGGCTCATGGACAGCTCTGCCTCGTTGTTATAGCCCAGAGCTGTGTCACTGCTGACACTTTCACCTGGCACAACAGAAGAACCGAAGTCTGAAATAACAAATTGCTGGAAATCAGAATGCTCCCGATTACTAACATGCAAGTAACTAAACAGTTGACGCAGCAGGAATCTTTCAGGGGATAAGGGCTCAAAAGGTGACTCTGTAGGGATCTTTGCCAACAAAACAAACCTCCCAGGTACAGGGCATTGATAGTCATTACAAGCTCCATGAATGTAACATGTCACATGAAGTGACATTCTTTTCAAGGAAGTCTTTAATTCAGTTATCCCATATACCCAAAAGATTATATCAGGTCCTTAAGCTTTCTACTGCAATATACACAGCTACAAAATAGGAGTGAGTGGAGGAAGAAGGTGGGAATTCATTTCACCATGAATGCAAGATTATTCTCCTAGCTGTAAGAGTCTAAGGATGCTTTATACATTGAGCTCAATATTTAGTCCTAAACCCAGAGTCAATCACCCACACTCACTGAGGGATGAAGTGTCCAACTGCAAAAGATTTTCTCCAAAAGAAATTTTCTCCCCTTTAAACACTAAAAAGTTCTAATTTGTCATCATACAATGATGCTTTCAAAGGCTATTAAGCCATATAGAGCTATTTAGTCTGACACAAAACAGACCTAGACAGTCTACTCCTCCAAGTCTCCTGTCTACTTCATAACAGTTTTATGTGTCTACCCTTCCTGTCTGCCTACTCTTCTGTCTGTTCTTTGTATTTGCTGACCATCCCTCAGCCTTGTTGCTTGGGATTTGTTGTCCTTCCTTCACTTGCCAAGAACTACAAGTTGTCCCAGCCACCAGATAAACTGAAAGTTGCCCCAGAAACCAACCTGTTAGGTCCCTAAGTTCATCTGCCACAGAACTCCAAGCCCACAGGGTCTGAAGGTGGAGCCTAAGAGGAGCTCCTCTGCCTCTACCAAAACCAGCCTCGATTTGCAGGAACTGCCTGTTATGCAATCTGAGAAGGGCATGGCCAGGTACCTGACTTCATGGAAGCAAAGTATTAGGGCCACAGATTACAATATATAATATATCCAAGGATTTGAATCAAATTTCAAATACTTATACCATTGATTTCAATGTGCTTCTGAAGCTTTTTGTTCCTAGCCTGTGGGAACTTTCTGGAGAAGACCAGTTTTCCTTCTGGGTTTGTTTGCTCACCCAGCCATTGACCTTGGTTGTGCCTCTTACCTGGAGAAAGACCTGGGGTGGAAGGACAGGCCTCTAAGGCACACATAATGGACTGGACCTGGTTTACTGTATGTGTCGACTAACCACCCATCAATCCTGGGATTCCAGGAATAAAAATGTCCCAATTCACAACCGTGACTCTTCACAGGATAAGATACAAGTTATAAGAGAACAAAATAGATCCACTCTTAAGTGGGACGAACACAGACCACATTTCCTGGAACTTACTCTTCTGTCTTTCCTTACATTTTCCTTGTGTCTGCTGCAAATCATCTTTTAAATCCAATTCAGCAGGGCTGCTGCTTCTTCTGACTAAGATCTTCAGACAAAAAGAAATATTGCATTTGTTACAGGAAAGTTCTAATTTTTACAAGACTAAGTTTCTAGTCCACATTTATAAAGAAAAAGAAACAAACAATAATAACAGCAACAAAAAACTGAATGATGTTTTCCACTTGAAGGATATGTGTTCACAAATTACTACAATTGAATTATAAAATTACTCAAGATCTGAAATTTTTGGCTTCTTCTTTGTCAAGTGACATCCAATTAAATTGATCTACCGAGAAGGGATGCCAAATTATATGGAAATAATTTATTTTTAAAGTTTTATTTGTACTTCTGCTTGAGCACACATACATAATGAGGCCAATTTGCAGAGGGCCTAAGTTATCCAGGAATGGTGAGTGTGCAAGCAGGGAATGTGTAAATTCTATCTAGGCATCTAAAAGTCACTCAGTGCCTCTTTGTGAAATATGCAACAGACTTTCCTGAGCACCGCCTCAACACCTAAACCTTGTGTTAAATAGAGACGACTAAAAGATTTGGAGGCAATCTGCATCCTCTAAAATTTATAACTTGCTTGGAGAGACAAAACATACACATTACACATAATGATCACAGTGTACATAAGCAAAATGTGCAAGCAAACTCTCTCTAAAAGGTATGCAGAGTAAAGTGTTACCTTAATCGGCTCACAGTTACAGGACAGCTGTTCAAGAAGGCAACAGACATGAAGTGGTAGAGAGAAGGCAGGAGGGGATTCAAGGCAGGAAGCACTGAGTGGTAATCAGCAAGTTCTATGTGCAGGAAAAGAAGCTGATTATAGCAGGCCATGCAAGGCAGTCAGGCGAAGAAGGAAAATGTTAAGAAGAAAACGCAGACCACCTTCTAAAAGAGGTAGCTGCCAGTGGGCCTTCAACATCAGGCTTACAAATTCAACCCAATATTGACAAAACAAGCAACTGTATGTTCCAGATAATAGTTTACTGTGATTAAAAATTCAACTAGAAAGATAAGTCTAGTAGTCATCTGTGGGATATATTAAAATTAAGAAGAAAACCGCTATGAACTGTTAGACTGAATAAGGAATGAGATGATAAGGCTTTGATGGTGGAAAAGGAGAAGAAAAGATAAATAAGAAAATGCTGTAGAATGACAGACAAGAGCTTATGCGAGACCCGTATATGGGAGTGGAGGAAAATTAAATCACAAAAGGATATGAACCTAGGGAACCATAGGAATGATGGTGATGAAGGAAGGAAGGGAGGGAGGGAGGGAGGAAAGAAGGAAGCATAAGGATAAAGGAACTTGAGAAGATTTCTGATGTTTTAATTTTCATATTTAGGCTAAATATCCAAAGCAAATGTACCGTAAGTGGGCAATAAAAATCTAGGAGTGAAATAGAGGATTAAGTCAAGAATGAAGATGTGAATTTAAGGTCCTCCAGTGCAAAGTGTGTAAGAAACCTAGGGTTCAATGAGCCAACTAAAGGGAAAAATATTAAACAAGCAAACAAATGAAAAGGAGGGGCTGAGATATACAATTAAAAGACAGGACAATTATTAAGCTAAAGCACAGAAGTAGGTCATGGATGAAATATCTAGAAGACTAACAGTACATGAAAAAAAATACTACCCAGCCTTAAAGAAGGATGATATATACCTAATGTGATAACAGAAATATACCCAGGATCTTTCCTCAACTAAAAAAGTAGAATGGGGTGGTTCTGACTATATGAAAGATGTTTGGAATTTCCTCCAGCTATAGAAATAGATTTTATGTAAGAATTTCAGGCTCACAGGGAAGTAGAATAAATCTCCCAGTGATCCATACTCCCCCCACAAAGTGAGTAGAAACCAGAGCAGTGAAAACAGGGCTGCCATAAGGGTAAATCTACTATTGCCACTGCCAATGGCAAAAGGACTGAGATTCCAGGATTAAAGGAGCACTCATTGGCTCTTGGAAGAAACAAATGCACATTGTCCTGGTGAAACTCCATCACTTCAGACATCCAGATTTCCTGTAGATTAAGATCCATCAGCTAGGAACTCATAATCAAAGATCACTGAATACCCAAGGAAATAAATCATCATGTACAAGAGTCTCAGAAACAACAAATACTAGATTTAGACCCCACTCCTACCCGCCCCTCCCCGCAAGGACTTCAGACAATCAGAAAAAGAATTTAGAATTGTAATTTGTGACTATTTTAAAGACATAAAAGATGGAAATCACAAAAATGAGCAATCACAAAAATGAGCAAGCAACAAGAAATTATTAGAAATTACAAGAATGTTTGAAAAGAATTAACCTGAACTTTCAGAAGCAAAAGTTATCATTGTTGAACTAAAAAACTCAGTGGAAGTATTACATAGCCAACTCCATATGAAAAAACAAAGATCTGAAAAACAGATCTAATGAATCACCCAGAATGTACCAGAGGGTCAAGAAGAGTGGCAAATGTGAAAAGAGACATAAGAACGTGGAAGACAGAATGAGAAAGTCTAAATATATTTCTACTCAAAATTCCAGAAAAAAAGAGCTGAAAGAACAAACAAGAGGCAATATTTGAAGAAATGACTACCAAGAATTTTCCAGAAACAATGGAAGAACAAGATGCATGGCACATAGCGTATACAAAAAAGGACAAATGTATAAACCAAAAGAAAATGCACCTAAATATAATGCAAGAAAACTGAAGGGCAAGGACAAAGAACAGCAAGGAATGACAACTAAACAGAATGGACAGAACTCTGAAAAACAACAATGAAAGACAAAAGATAGCAAAAAAATAGCTTCCAATAGAAGGTGGGGGGAAGGGATAAAGAAGTGGAGGAACTACAGTAATTAATTAAGATGTTGTACTACTGGCCAAAAACACAAAGTTACCAATCAGTCAAGATAAGTATATATGAGAGAGAGGTATCATTTCAGATCAATGAAGGAAAGATGAATTCAATAAACGGGACCAAGGACAAGTGGTTATCCATGTGGGAAAAAATAAAATAAAATTAGATCCCTACCTCCATAAATAAGAATCAATTCAAGATAGATAAAAGACTTAAATGTGTACAGCAAAACTGAAACACTTAAATATTCTTATCCTTGTAGAGTTGGCATTTTAATATTTCATAAACCTAACTATAAATATAATTAATAATCAAAAATACCAAAATTAAGAACTTCTGTTCATCAAGACACCATTGAGAGAGTGAAAATATAAACCACACACTGGAAAAAAATATTTTCTAGAAACATAACCAAAATAGGATTACTCTTCAGACTATATAAAGAATTAGTACAAATAAGAGAGAAAAAGAAAAAAAAATCAATAAGAAAATGTCAAAGACGTCACATGAAACACACATGGTCAATCAACATGTGGAAATATTTTAAACTTTATTAGTAATCTGAAAAATGCAAAATAAAATGAATTCCCATTTTCACCCACCTAACTCACAATCTGACAATAGCAAGTATTGACAAAAATGTGGATGAATGGGAACTCAACACATTGTTGGCAGAAATATAAGTGGTGTAATCACTTTGGAAAACATACAGTCTCTTGTAAAGAATATTCTTCTACTTTATGTCTCATTAATCCCATGCCTAGATAGTCACCATAAAGAAAAATCTCAAACATGTAGATCTTGAAACATATACAAGAGTGCACATAGCCACATTTTTCATTAATAAAAAAAAGATGAAACAATCTAACTATCCATCAACAAGAGAATGGAAAAATAAGTTGTGACATATTCACAATGGAGTGTCATATGGTAGAGAAAACTTAGGCTACACGCCACAGTGTTGATAAATCTTAGAAATATGTGAGTGAACAAAAGCAATAAAATCACTTAATAAAGTTTATAAATAAGGAACACTAAAGAATATAATGTGGAAATACATACATATAGAACAAAACTATAGAGCAAAGCAAGGACATGATAAACACAAAGCCAATATAACATTCTCTGAGGGGACAAGGAAGGAACGTATATAGGCCAAAGCAACAGCACTGGAAAAATTCTAGTTCTTAAACTGGGTGGTGGGCATATAGGTATTTATTTGATTTTGAAACATACATATATGTATGAAATATACATATATTGTCAAAATACACATGCAGGTATATACAGAACATATATTTATTAGTATATAAGTATACATAAACATATGCATGTTTATGTATATATGACATATATACAAGTATAAATACACATATATAAAAAGATACATGCCCTTTAAAAATAAAGACAGAAAATTTTAACACTGGTTATCTTCCAGGCAGAGAGGACTAGAGAGAGATTTTCTCTGTTTATTGTGCACCTTTCTGTTATGTTTGAGTTTTCTATAAATATATATCTACATATTTTTAAAGAATGACTAAGCAGGAGTCACGTGCATGCATGAAATGTGGGCTACTTTTTAGTTTTTCTTCTTTATACTTTATATTCAGTCTAAAGAGATAAATGCTATTTTACATTTTTCTAAAAAAGAAATCATAACTGATCTTTGCAAAAAAAAAAAATCACTTATCTAGCAACTCATGTCAGGTGGAACATGCTACCTAAAGCAGTTTCAGGAAGAGGGAATCTGAATATACGTCTGACAGGCAAGGATACCTGCTTAAAAATATAGAATTCCAGGTACAGACCAGAAGGTAAATTCCATTTTCATGCTCATTTTTTTTTCTATTTTTGTAGTGTGACTATAATTTTACACAGAAAGTAAGAAAGCCTTTAAGAGCTCTCAGGGTTGTTCAGGGCAATTACACATCTAAATGGAGAAATGTTTTAAAAGAACTGCCACTAATAAGCGTATTTATTATGCCAATAATTTATATGTTTATTTTTAATTACAAACTGATATAGTTTGAAAATATCTTACTGTTATTCCTTCATGTTCCTTCTTCACATATCCTTTATTTTCTTGAATAGGCTTGGACTCTGCAGAACTCAAAGTCTGTATATTTTCTACCTTTTGACCTAGAGATTTTGGGGAAAAAATTAACAAAATATTTTAGATGATAAAATTGGAGAAAAAAATTTATATGTAAGTAATCAAATTTAGATATCCTAAGATACGTAAAAATAGGAGTTACGATCTGGCAAACTGATAGTCTATGAGTCAAGTCTACCCTATAGAATCTTTGACCCACAGATAGCTTTTAAGAGACTGCACTGAGTGCAGCCAATAGGTCCACCTAGCACATTATGCCAGCACAGGGGAAGGTAACAAGACTCTCCTAGGGGCCTTCAGAATGGGATCTCAGAGGAAAGCTGCCTGAGTTTGCCAGGTGAGCTGACAGGAAAACAGAGCAGGAAGGTGGTTCAGTACTGCTCAAGAATAAAGACTGACGAGAGAAAGCATGAACTTATCAGTATCAGTGATAAAAAAGGGAATATCACCACATAGCCTATAAACACTAAAATGATCATAAGAGGGTTTTATGAATAATCTGGGGCCAATAAATTTGAAAAGATTACATGAACTGAACAAATTCCTGAAAAACCACAACTTATCTGAATCAAAACAGGAAAAGGAAAATTTTAATGGTCTTAAAATGATTTAAAAATGTGAATATTTTTTTGAAATCTTCCTAGAGAAAATTCCAGGCAACTGGTGAATTCTACCAAATATTTAAGGGGAGAAAAAATTTAAAACAGTCTTATACCAAACCTTTCAGAGAACAGAAAATCTTTCAGATAATACATTTCTCAAATTATTTTAGTGTATCTTCTTACTTCAAGAAAATTTCTAAGAGGGAATACTTCCCTATTTTGATGAGGCTATGAGATAACCTGTTGATAAACAAGATGGTTTATCTCTTACTTAACTGATGAAACTAAAACTAAATAATAAGCATATTCACTGCCACCAGACACAACTGAAACATGCACTTTCCCTGTAAAACACATCATTCATTGTTTACAGATCTGACCATCTGCCTCTCTGCTTTGCTGGAAGGTATCAGAGACACTGTGTAGATGGATGCCATCATCAGTGCTTATTTTCAGCCTCAGCAGAGTTCACAGGCTGCTAATAAACTTTTTCACAAGTCCAGCCAGCCCTCCATTCTCACTGTCAACTTTTATGGCTCTCCTCACAAGACCCTTTCTTGCATGCCCCTACCCTGCCTCCTACTTAACTCTGCTGCTCGCCCGGACCCTGTGGTGTGACATTCTCTGCTTCCCACCTACTCCAGCCACCACTGGACTTCTCTCTAGTCCTCAAACAGGCTACTCTTAAAAGAGGTGCACCTAGGGGCACCCGGGTGGCTCAGATGGTTAAGGATCCGACTTTGGCTCAGGTCACAATCTCACAGTTTGTGGGTTTGAGCCCCGCGTCAGGTTCTGCATTTGCAGCTCTGAGCCTGGAGATTCTGTCTTCTCTGTCTCTAACCCTCCCCTGCTTGTCTCCTTGTGTTCTCTCTCTCTCTCTCTCTCTAAATAAATAAATAAATAAATAAATAAGCATTAAAAAAAAGAGGTGCACCTAAGTATATATAATTTTAGATAAGTGTATTAAACAGTGAAAATATTTCATTGCCAGAAATCACATCCTTGCTATCAACTTAAAAAGCAAGTTTCCTTGAAATAAATTGAGTGGGGTTAGAATAAACGCAGAAAGCAATACGGCGTGCAGCTCCTTCCCAGCCAGGATCCACAGTCCTGTATTGTTTAACCACTGCAGCTACTTCGTACCCTGAGAGGAATCTGGGCGGGGCGGCTCAGTGACGTCAGGTGTGCTGCTGCTACGAATGATGTGCTGCTCCGCCCCCAGGCAGCCAGATTCCATGGCAGGTGCATTTTCTGATTGCTGACATTCTTCCACTTCTGTGGGCATTAACACAAAACATGCAGAGATGTATTCAAAGATTTTTAAAAATAATTTCACCACTTGAACCAACTGATTCTAAAAATGTAGTCTGGGATACTTCCCCCCGGTCCAAAATTATACAATAAGATAATCTGCATTTACATACTAAAGTTTTCTTTCTACACTTGTTAACAAGTAATATTCCACTCTAAAAATACGTTTTAAGTTCTGCAAAGCATTTTATTTTCAAAATGGAGGGAAAAAAAAGAGAAAAAGCTGCAGAAATGGTTGAGAACTGTGAAAGTCACTTGGAATTTCAGAGCCGGGCATGCCAAGGAATGCGGGAACCAGGAAATACACAGAATAGGTAATTTACATTTGAGGAGAGTAGAAAGACACACACACACACACACACACACACACACACACGTGCACACACACACTCTCTTATAGGAAGATAAAAGGAAATGGGAATTTCAACTCTATCATTCCTTTCAACAGATAAATGCACAACTGTCCAAAATAAAATACTACAATTATTTAATAGCTTTTACCACCAAATGCAATGCTGAATTAATCACTAAAGTACAAAAATGATCCACTGGCATTTTTGGAGAATAAATACATAATTGTTATAAAATAGAAAACCATAGGTGAGTACTGGCCACTGGATAATCTCAGCTAGCATTATTACAAACTATATTCTCCCAGAGAATGAGTTCTCTATTCTCTATGTGGCTCCAGAGAGGTCCCTCTAAAACCAAGATCTGACTGCACCACTTCTCTCTTGCCGAGGCCCCCCATCATTGTACAGCCAAGCCTGGGATCCTCACAGTGGACATAGGGCTCCCCCTGACCTCTCCCCACAGATTTGATCCCCCACAGGAGCTCTGACTCACTTTAGTCTCCAGCAATCCTAGCCCACCTGCACCTACTGCTCTCTCCTTTCTGCGGCTCACTCTTCCACACTACCCTCAGACCTGTTCCTGCCTCCTTTCCTCCCTCCCTTGCTACCTGGACACCCCTCCTACAGGACTTGCCATGTGGTCCCTCAGCAGACTCCACACTCACTCCAACAGTCATAAAACTTTACATCTACATAGCTGTAACATATTTTCTAAAAATTTTAATTTAGCTAAAGTTTCCTTCCTTCTAAGATAAAAATTCAGCCTGTATTATCTTACCCGGCAGTGTCAACCACTTCCTCACCTGAAATGAAGCTCATTGCCCTTGTGCCACCCTCAGTATAACCCTTTACTCCAAAGATAAGCCAAAGTGCTGGCTCTCCCTAGTCAAGTTGTATGTATGTATTACTCTACATGTAACACACAGGACTTCAAGAGAAGGGTGCTGCTTTATTTTTACTATCCAAACAAAAATTCTATTTTAAAGTACACTGATACACGTAATGAGACTTTAAAACTATGAAGTTTGTGTGACCCTTCATTTATAATTCAGAATACTGGGCCATAGTCTAAATTTAGGCACTGACGGGAAGCTGAACTTAGGGCATAAGCAAAAGACAGTCAAGGTAGCAAGACAAGAGCACACAGACCCATTAAAGCCGCATCTCTTCCAGGTTGTCTTTGCCCTTCTCTTCTCTTGAATAGCCAAGAACTGTTCATTTTCCCACAGAGAGACACAAGACATGTGTACATGTTTGTGATCTCCCCACACATCTGCAAGCTTAGACTAGGCCCTTTCACAGGTCTGCTTCTAGGCTCCTCAGCATTAGGCAACAGAAGCCAGATGATACCATGAGACCAGACCCTCCCTGCTGCCTTCGTTCATTGTTTATTCTAATTATGCAAGATACTGAAACCTTCTGGGAAGTGTTTATATTCGTTAATGAACCTACTTGTTAATCTAATATCAGTAGAGGGAGCCCAAGAGCTTCCTAATTCTCTAAAAATGATTGGCAAATGCCAGTTTTTATGGACAGTGGGAAGAGTGGCTTTTATTCACTTAAACTTGATGCCAAAAACTGGTAGATGTTGGTTTCTGGGCTAGGAGCAGAAACAAATAAGAGCCAGGCCAACACTGGCAGCATCTTTTTAAAGATAAAGAACATCGCCATCTGGTGGGATACCGTACAGTCACAGCACCATGGTTTCCAAATTCGAGTGTCCCCACTGGTCCTCAACACAACAGACGGACGAAGAGCCTGCCATCACCAGCTGGTGTGCCTTCCCAACAGGCTGGCCTAATGCAGCTTTAAGGCTTTGTTTTTGTAAAACTGTTGGTAGGGACTTCTCTGATGGAGAAGGTCCAAGCCCACAGAAATCACCAGAAATGGTGAGGATGGGAGCATCCATGATGAGGGTGGAAAGAAAGGGGAGAATCATAATGTCAAGCATACTGTGAGGACTGCTATGCTATTGGTTCCCCGAGCTACTCCTATAGTTAGTTGACTGTTAAGTGATCTAGTGTGGAAAAAGAATTTAAAATTCTTATCTCACAATTAAAATACAATTTTCTGATTTGTAAATGTACAGTTCTTGGCCTTTCTCACACTTTATACTAAGTATATAGTCAATATATGCCTTGCATAAATGAACAAATGAATACCAAAAATATTTTCTTGATACTTTTTCTTTTCTTAAACAGCTCTTGAGCTCCCTCTGCTGGCTTTTTATTTGTTAAGAAAGGGACAAATGTCAAAACTGCTCCCGTTCCACAGTGTTGCTGTTTCATAACAAATTAAGACCATTTAATACTGATATGCAAATATCAAGATACAGGATTATGTGATACTCAAAGCATGAACAATCTAAGTTATATAAAAATTACATTATAAATTCTGGGTAGGTCTAACACATTCTCTGTTTTGAGTACCACACAATTTGTTCAAATCACTTCAAAGAGCTAAATTCTATCTCAGATTCACCAAATCATTCATTGTCTCGCAAGCATTGCTACCCTAATAACTCAAATTTTAAAAGTTCTAACCTTCTAGCTTCTTGATAGTGTCAACTACACAGTACCATTACAAAATCACTGCTTTCTAAGGCTCCACTCAAAACACCAGGAAAATGATCAAATTAGAATTACTTCATTTTTCCCACTGAGAGAAAAATCCACATGATTAAATTAAATTAAGAGTGCAAAGTCTTTAGAAACTTCTATTTATTCCAGACGTCTGACCACTTTTCAAAGCAATTTCACTCAGTCTTTAATCTAAGGCTTTCTTAATCAATCTTATTAAATGAAGTGAGACTCATTCTTCAATTACCAAAATTCTGGGTTCCATTTATCCCTCATACAAGGTTGCAAAGGCAAAATGAATAGTTTAATTTCTTTTTAAAAGCATTGTTCATAAGACCAACTTGAGCCTATTAAAAAGCACAAGAGATAGAAGTCAACTCAACATCTTGAGGTTTCTTAGGAGGTCCAAAGGTGAACCAGCCCAGACCCTGACAACAAGCACTTCCTGACAATTGGATACTACCTGCAAGCCTGACAACCAGAGGCAGAAGCAGCCAAACAAGGCTTTCAGTTTGGTACCATTAAGTCTCTTTTAGAATGAGAGAAGATCACTGAACCTCTAATTGCTACAACTACAATGGCCCTAAAGGAAAAATAAAATCTATCATCAGCATGGCCTATAAGCACTACAGACTGATAAATGTCCCAACATAAAAGCAGTTAAAATTGCAAAACAGCTGGAAAGCATTGTTCTCACAAAGGAGAGGAAGGAAAATCACCAAACTGCCAGTTCTACTTCCCACGTGTGTGTTTATGTAGCTATTCATATAAATGGGATACAGGTGGTTATTACTTTCCCCAAAATCTGCTGCCACCAAATAGAGTCCCAAAGGGACCAGAATAAATATAATCGTGGCTGAAGGTAAGTAATCCTCTATTGTTTAGATTATTAAAGCAATTTTTACATATAGACAAGAAACAAAAATAAGAAATGTTAACAAATGAAAACAAAATTAGCAATCATTTTTATAGTAAAGACCTTGTGGCCAGAAAGTCAACATTAAAAGTGTCTGCATACTACGTATAGGTGGATATACATCTACCTATATCTAAACTTAGCCATAGGTAAGCAATATATGCCAACACACTAGGATTTAAATTGGGGCAGAAATTTAATATTCTCATGTGCCAACCGGTGAGAATGCACAATCTAAAGTAGGATTGATATGCACTGTTCCTGGCCTAGTCTCTCGACAGGACAGTTCCAAAGGGAAATGGCATCATTTCCTTAGTGAACTAAGGAGGAGTTCACTACTGTAGCTGTCAGATAAAACACAAGGAACAGCAGACTGTTCTCAGTGTCACTACACGGCTAAGTCCCTTTACCCTTCATGCTATAAAACCAGGAATAAAGATGGCAAAGGCAGGAAAATACTGACTTGGCATGGCCTGCTTTGCTTCACCCCAAATCAGGGTCTTTCAACCTCAACACTACTGATATTTTGGGTCCAACGATTCTTCATGGTAGGGGTTGTCCTGTGTAGCCACTGTCAGCAGCATCCCACTAGGGGCCGGTGTTTAGGCACCGCCCCAGCTGTAACAACCAAATGTTCCCTGGGGGGCCAAATCATCCCCAATTGAGAACCACTGTTCTAAATCATATTTAACTTCTGTTGGAACTCTGTGTGTGTGTGTGTGTGTGTGTGTGTGTGTATGAATCAAGAATCTGAATAAACTAAAATATAATAGTGAATGAGAAAAAGGTTTCCAAACTGAGATTGTGAACAAAAATAGATTTCTTAAGAGAAAATATTCCGGACAAACTAGTAGAAACCTTGATCAAAGGAAATAATATGGGGAAAAAAATGCACTGTGAAGAACAAAAACTTTTCACCATGAAAAGAATGCCTTTTGGGTGTATATTAGCTATATACCAGCCAAAAAGAAAACGAAACTATTTTAGATACTTTATTAATCATCTCTAGGCAGTAGTACTTTTTTGACAACCAGATTATCAAGTAGTTGACGTTCATCAGTAACTTAATTGACTGGGGATCATGTTACCATTCGTATTGCTTTTCACCTTTGGTATCTACTAGAGAAAAGTATTTTCTGAGAAGTGTAATCCGTAGTCTCAATGAAACAAATTTCTTCCTTCATATTCTGTGAATTAAATAATATGACATCTTTACATGCTCATCAGGGGAAGTAAGATTTAATTATGCTTTACTACACTACATCATCATACAATATGGCATGATTTAGTGCTACAGAAAGCCACACTCAGGCTATCTCCAATAGTAAATACTGATTTACAATGCCATCTTTCTGAAAATAAGAACATGAAAACATATCCCTCTTAGCATGAAAAGTCAGTTCATTTTAGAATCTCTGAACAGTAACTGGACATAGGCCTAATTATTCACTGCAGAGCACAGTAGACCCTTTTTTTGAGGGGTCTATGGCAAAAATCACCATTTTTGATGCCATAACATTTTAGTAATCCAGAAAATACACTGTGTACAAACTACAAGTGGGTGAACTCAATTTTAATTCGCTGGAGCACAAGAACAATGTCTCCTTGTTTTGAAAATTAGCACTTTTTAGCATCTTTTTTTTTCTACTCAAATCAATAATCAGTGTGACTGATAAACATAAACATTATTACTTTACACATGATTACAATTTATTAATCCCAAGGAGGTATTGCCTACATGATTTTTCCCGTTTATCGATTTTGGGGAGGCACAGCAAGCAAAACTTTTGTGCTGCAGGCATTGTATAGAAGGCGCCCATCATTGGTAGAAACTATGGGTCAAAAAGTCCTAGAGCAAAGACCAGTGGTGCTGCAGAAATTTTCCTTGACTAATAGCTACTAAACATTTAACTGCATAAAAACAATTATTAATATTCACCAAAAATAAATGCCAAGTGCAATGGCCAGGCACGCATGCGCAGTGTGGGGGGTATTAACAAAGGAAGCAAGGCCTACAGGCAAGCAGGAGAAGCCCAGGGACACTGACGGACACATGAGACAGCGTTACAGTACCTGACAGCCTGTGAGAGCAAGAGGAGTAAGAGAGACCAGGTAAGAGAGCGCTCACGGTGTGAAGGAGGAGCGGGACGCTTTTAGTGGCAGGCAAAGCCTCAGAGAGGTGGACACAGTTGCTGATAGACTGGCTTCGCTTAGCTTCCAGGAGAGATAAAGTAACAATTATGTCAGAAGCACATTAGGATCTTTCACTTCTTTTCTTTTCTTTTCTTTTTTAACTTATTGCTATTTTTCTGGGCTTTCTTTCAAATTTAAAAAAAGGTCTTTTAAACTTTAAAGGAGGTCAGTACAAAGTAGAGTATTTAACTGTAGTCTCTAAATACAGCCAACCTTCGGTCATTCTGATGACATGGGAGAATGGACACTCACACTGTATCACTTTGTATCACACTCACATTTGGGTTGTTTATTTGGGCAGACACTATAATCCATTTCCCCTTCCTAAAGGACACATACATGAAAAGACAACAGGCAGGGAGGGGAAAATCTAGCCTAAGATTAAAACTGTTCTATAAATAATAAATAATTTAAAAATTGGTTTACTGAGAGCTGACTGTATTCAAAAGCAAATCATTTAGTAAATTAAATATCCTAAAGCACAGAAACACATGAAAGTCAAGTTGAACATTAAAAGATTTGATATTTGAGGGTAAAAAGGCAAAAATCTCCATGAAACCCATCCTTGTATATCACATTTCATGCTTGTTAAATCCATAATTTCTTAGGATGAACTTTATGATGTTCTCAAGTTTTCTACAGACCACTATTTAAATGACCATTTGAGAAAACAGATAAACACAGGAAGAGAATATGCCTCATATATACGAAACCACCATCAGTGGGACCAGTTTTATCCTTAAAACTAAAATATAAAGGTCGACTTGTTTTATTATTTTTACATCACTTTATTTCACATTCACGGAATACAAGTACAAACGGTAATGACACATTTGCAGAGGGTGAAACAAAGTTTTTACTTCCTTGCCCCTCCCCCCTCAACCCCCCCCCCCCCCTCTGGCTGTCAGTATTCCCAGGTCTGATTCCCACAGGGAATCCACAGGGACTACCTGCCATGGGATTACAGCACACTCTTCACAAATGGGTAAGATGATACTTCAAATGACTTCCATGTGAATGTCAAACTGACTTACTTCAAATTTCCTAAAAGATGTGTTCATCTCTCAATGTCAGAGGGCGTCTGAAAGAGCTTTCCTTTTATGAATCAAATGTGTATTTTTCCAAAACTGATCACTAGATATTTAGAAATAATAAAACTTATAATTATTATAATAATTACTTTGTGTGGAAACTGACTTGCTTTAATCACTCATTTTAGACATCTAAAATTTTAGCATCATTCACACTCAGGAGCAAAGTTTTCCTTTATAATTCTTTAAGACTCTCCTTGCCAGTTCCTTTTAAGTTGCAAACTAGTTCCTTCTCTGTTAAATTGTTCTTTCTCTTCTCTGCAATTGCTTATTTTATTATTTCTGTCTTGCCACCATCACTGACATTTTCTCAATCATTTTCTTAATCTAGATTAAGTGCAGTCACTGAGGCAAGTTATAATAATCTTTTCCTTTAATGTTTATTTATTTATTCTGAAAGAGAGAGAGTGGGGGCAAGGGGCAGAGAGAGGGAGAGAGAGGATCCCAAGCAGACTCCATGCTGTCAGCGCAAAAGCCTAACACAGGGCTCCATACCAAGAACTGCGAGACCATGACATGAGCCAAAGTCAAGAGCTGGACACTTAACTGACTGAGCCACCCAGGCGCCCCTATAATATAATAATCTTAAATTATTCTCATACTGGGATTAGAAAAAATAAATCACTTTCAAATGGGTCTTCCATGATAAACACCTTACTGCTAAAGGTGACAAAAACTGCCTGAGCTGCTATTCTCATTAAAAGGTGGCCTCGGGGCGCCTGGGTGGCTCAGTCGGTTGAGCGGCCGACTTCGGCTCAGGTCACGATCTCGCGGTCCGTGAGTTCGAGCCCCGTGTCAGGCTCTGTGCTGACGGCTCGGAGCCTGGAGCCTGTTTCGGATTCTGTGTCTCCCTCTCTCTGACCCTCCCCCGTTCATGCTCTGTCTCTCTCTGTCTCAAAAATAAATAAACGTTAAAAGGTGGCCTCCACACTATCAACACCTACCATAAAAGTATTCTGGGCCTTCTTAAAAGATGGAAAGGCAAGTTATTACACAATGTAAAAATAACAGAACTGAGTAAAACCACTAATAGTCTATATAGATTAGTTTTATAAAACAGCATGATACAATAAAATCTTCAGAGACCGTTGTTTTCACAGGCAACTAAAAAGATAAAAATGTGAAGTAAAAGAGGAAATACATATGTATTGCAAGATACATGAAGATAATAGATTGATCCAACTCAATAGCTCTTGTCTCATTATCTTTTTAAAAGTTATGGTTCCAAGTGTTATTAATTTTTAATACTCTAAAGGCCAGGTTTATGACTTTTAAGCGACATAGTCTAAACAGACGTTTGTAAGAGTTCTTACTGATGCAATACCATATGTTGCCAGATGCCTAAGAACACTGATAAAACAGAAGCTCACTAGCATAAATGCACTGAGGATTATTGAGAACAGTAATGGTGCCACCTCCATAGTGTTGGTCTAAAACACCTGCTGAGAAACTAAAATGCAATTTCTTCTATGGCTGTGCTTTGGCCAAGTAGGGGAATAAGGAGCATGCAATATACAATAGTTTGCTGCTCATTAAAGTGTGAAAGTAAAGTTTTACATAGTGTTTTGAATGATTAATTTTATTATCATTACAGTTCAAGGGCTGCGAAGGGTAGCACAGAGTCTGGGCAGTTCAGGAATGATGACACTTTGTTGCAAACTTCTGCTCTGATTCAATGAGGAAAGAAAGGAGTTTCTAGGAGTTGGGATGAGAATGAAAGTCAGTGTGTAAGCCTTCCCCAAAGTTGCCTGTTACCAGGAACAGTCTCTCCTCAAGGAAGGGGATGAAGGAGAGAGCAGGAGAAGTGGAACAGGAGGTGAATGTAGTAAGGTGATAATTACCAACAAATGCTGTAGCAAAAAGCATTAGACAGGGCTAAGGCACAATGTATTTTCGTAAAAGCTCCAACAGGATTCTAAGCCATCTCTATGAAGTCTTTACTAAGTACTGTAAAATATGTTGACTGTAAATGACTCTGATTTATGACCAGAGGATATTGTGACTTTCTGCAGTCAGCATGCTGAATATCGATTAGAACAGTGTGGTAGTACTGATGTGAAAAATGACAGGAAACTCAAATTTGTTTTAAACCTAAGTTACAGCCTCAGAGTCACTGGAGGGAAGGGGTTTTATTTGTTCTTATTAAATACTGGATACAAGCTTACTTTTTAAAGATTTCTCTTTTGGTTTTAAAAGTGTAGGAAATAAGTCCAAAAAACTGGGGGTTCTTGGTCAAGTTCTTATTAATTCTAACAGGCTAGGAGGACAACATCAACAGGCATATAAAGCTCAATTTCCCAAAGAACCCCAAAACGTAAATGTCTCCCTCCAGTCCTGAAAACTAAGTGCATTATTCTCTCTTCCTGTGTGGGAACAGTTGCCACACTAAGATTACCAATGTTCAACAACAATAATGCAACTAAGTGTGTGATTACTAAGAATCTATTTTCTCTAAGGGTCAAACAAAAACATTTATTTTCTCTCTTTTGCACAAATATCTCACTCAATATTAACATCTCAAGTTCTTTTTCACAATGGACTCAGAAATAAGTATCAAAAATGGATTTGAAAAGTATCAGAACAGATAATTAAAAGATACAGAGACATCCCATTTAACTCTGAGCGGAATTTTAAAACCTTTAAAACATTTTATTCCTATAAATCCATTTTAGATAGCAACTAGACCTGACAGAAAAAATTTAAATAAATGTTTACCGGTTGCTTTTTGGCGAACAATATTTCTTGCCTTCTCAACTCCTGGTGCCCCAGATGTGGTGGCACTCCTAGATCGCATTGGTTCAGTCACATCTGGGTGGCTCCGCCAGCTGAGAGAAAAGGATCTCCCCACAGTGGTTCCTTTCTGAGAATCTAGAACACAACCTGATAGAGGATAAGACGAGAAAAATAATCTAAAGGCTGAAGTCATTATCATTCATTGCACAGCCTGTGTTGCTCAGCAAATTTCATAAGTACAACTATATTTATTACAGACTCTCTGGTTGCATAATTAGGTACCATTTCCTTATACTTCAGTACGAAGGTTTGCACATAACAGTAATCTAGAAATTCCTGTTGCCAAAGTATTTTTCAAGCATCTCCAACAGCCTCATAACAATAATATCATTCCAATATAAAAAAATGTGAATAAAACTTTCTCAGTAAAAGAACAATGTCAAATGAAGTTATACCACTGCTGTCCGGTCACTCCAAAAACTACTTTTATAAACCACAAAATGAGAGATCCTGGCTTTAGAATAATGCTCCCTCCTGGAGATGCTAACCTCTCCACAAATTACCAAGAGAAATTTGTGTCTGTAAACTCTAATCAGAGTCAAGTGAAAATCTATGAATAATACAAAATCCCATTTTAGCAAACCTCCAAAACAATAAAATACTGCAGTTTGTAACCCAACTTGTCTGCTTTCCTCTCATATTGCTCTGGTCAAATATTTCAAATGAGTAGTCAAGGTACCAAAAGAAATACAGGGGCAAAGAGAATGAGACAGAGATTTCTGCACAGGTATGATGTGGCTGGTGGCTGCCACAAACTGTGGTTTGTTTTCACCCCCAGGTTCCTGAGAGTGTATTTTGTTTCCACAAGTCCAGTGCTTAGAAGGCAAGTATTTCCACAGTGAATACTTAAAGCCATTTTTAGAATAAAGCAATATAAGAGAGAAATCAGAAGTATTTGCCATGGGCACTGATTAAATGATTAAATTCGTTCTGTATCATTCCATCAGGAGTGTTTTTTGAAGTGTTTACCTTCCTATAAATAAACACAGCCACTCACAGACTGCAGTGAAGATGTAAGAATCAGTCACGTTAACTGTATGTCTGTATGGTGAAGTAATCACTTAATTGGCTCACAGCTCCCCACATTCACATCCTTTGCTGTCCTCTCCCACACCGACCCTGGGCTTCATCACATGACTTACTTTGGTAGCAAAACTGAGCAAGCAGAGATCTGAAATGCACTTGAAAATCTGGGCTTGCCCCATTGCTGCTCCTGGAACCTTACGTCTTTGAACAAAAAGCCTGAGCTGGCCTGCTGGGCAATGAAAGGTATACAGCCAAGTCCCTCCCATGGCCCCAGCTGACAGCTGGCCAATCCCTAGAGCTGCCTACATGATTATTTCACAGCCTAGCTGACTACAAACACAGGAGTGGATCCAGCAGAACTGCCCAACTGAGTCGAACCCAAACTAACAACTCATAAAATCAGTATCTAAACAACTGACTGTTATTTTAAGCTGCTATGTTTTGGGGTGATCTGTCACCCAGCAAAAGCTGATACAATCTATAATAAGGCTATTGTTGAAGCTGTGGTCTACTACAGCAAGCAACGTACACTTCATGAATCTTTGGAGCAGAAATTCTTCTCAGGTCTTAGGACCAGGAAAAGCTATGTATCACCTAAGCTGTGGACTGTTTTCACCTTTTGTAATCTGTGATCCTCTGCTGTAACCCTGTGAAGATCAGAGTCAAATCCAAGCCTGCCACCCCTCCCCAACAAGCAGAGGAGGCTCTCTGGCATGCATTCTGGCATTTATAACTGCTCCTATAATCCCACCCCCTTCAATTTTGCCCCCGTGACCTTATGTATTTTATCTCTCATATTATAGGTGCTTCTATGAACTGCCTCAAAATCTTTAAATAATAAATTGGAGTACAAGTGAATTAACCCAAGGACTGTGTCACAGCCTTAAAACAGTAATGACAACAAATTGTTGTCCCCAGTAGAAAACACCGCTGATGTTTTCAACCTTGATCTGACTCTAGGTCTCAAAACAATTCTTACCCAGAAACACAACAAAGCCAAAAGGCCTCCTAGCTGAATCACTCAGAAGTTTTCCACTTTCTGCCTTTCCTAGGCAGGCAGTGGAATAAGTCCTTTTAGTGTGGTGCCTTGAGACGGACTTGCCTAGCTTTGATTTCCGGCTTTCTCATGTATTAGCTACATGACCTTGAATAGTCCATCACCATGGACTCTCTGTACTTCAGTTTCTCTGTCTGTGACATGGGGATGATAGTATCCACCTCAGAGGTTACCATGAGGGTGAAGACAGATAATGTGTACAAGCACTAGCCATTATTATATTATTGTTGCTACCACTGCTACTCCCTTTCAGCATCCTTAAGAGGTCAGCGTGCTATGAAACACAATCCAACACCATCAGTGAAAAGATACTGCCCACATGGCTGGTTCAGTTTATTGTAAAATTCCATGTGTTAATTGCCTCCATGTACAAATACACACTCCTCCCCAGTCTCCGACATCGGGTGTTACCCTGTAAGAGTAGAAGTACCTTTGCCTCGCTGCTTCTTTTCCTTTTGTTCACTTAATTTGTCCAGAGGTAGGTTTGTCATCTCAACTCCATAAACAGTTCTCGCGAGCACTGCTGTCAACGAGTCCATGATGTTGGCCCACTCAGTTATGAGCTCCTCCCATTCCGTGAGGGAGGACAGCACGCCAAGAAAGTCATCCCAGAGCTCTCGAGAAATGTATACACAGAGGTTTGCTCGGATCCACGCCACCATGAGCGTCTGAAACCAACCAGCCAATTAGAGACTTTAATCGTCCTCATTTGGAAGAAGAATTTTTAACAAAATATTTTACTATTACTAAAATGAGCTTTAAAACAATAAAAAGCACTTGATCCTGTTTTTCTTTTAGTTTCTCAGAATTCATTTGATCAACTGAAACCAGGATCTGAGCTCGTGAGAAATTAGTTACCATTAAGAACAAAGCTCCTGACTGAAAATCCCTCTAGTGCCTGCGGCTGGCCCTGGCCATAATCGGGAAGAAGACAAAGCTCTCAGTACTACAACTATTCTGCTTCTTGGACAGCTCTCTCTCACTCTCTACAGTGGCTACTTCTAGCATCCTCTTCACAAAGCATCCTCTATGTAAACTTCCAGCTCCACCAACTCCTCCCTGCTTTCTAGCAGATGAACTCACTGCAGATTTAAGAGAAAATAAAACCCATTAAACAAGCCCCACGAGCCCCATGTGTTTGCCCAGCTTCTCCTCCACCTCCAGGCTTTAAGTGAAGAGAGTCTCCTGCTCCTCTCTGCTTGTTCCCACCTCTGCTCTGAACCGCCTCCTTGCTCTTTGTGTTTCCATGAATGCTGCCTCTCCTTTTTCTCCAATCTATCCTACTAACCCAACTTCTCCCCATCAGCATTCAAACATTCTCCAAGTCTACCTCATCTTAAAAACGAAAAATAAACAAAAAAGTTCCCTTGACCCCAGATTCCTCCCTCTAGCTAGAACATTTAAAGCCAAACTTCTTGGAAGAATGTCCCATACTCACTGCATGTATACCTCCTCATCTCCCTATTCCACCAACTGCTCTGGCTTTCTCCCTTCCTATGCCACCCCATCTCTGCTGGGGTTCTGGTCCCCATTCTTGTGGCTCTAGTTACCACCTGTAAAATTCCTCTGAGTCTCCATGGTTAGCCCAGACCTCTTTGGTTTCCTGACCTTGTTGATCTGGGTACTAGACAGCTCTACTTGCAGTCACCTGCAGGCATGATAGTAAAAAGAATTCAGTACTTCCACTGAGATTCTTCCAGTTCCTTGACCTGGTCTCTCCTGCTCCTGGCCTTTGCATGTAGCTTTCCTTCCTCTCTTCCTTTCTTTTTTGGCTTTTTATCTCCCACTCATTCTTCAAGTCACAATGTGGACATTACTTCCTCCAAGGTGTCCCTGACTGTCACCCCACCCCACCTCTAGTAAGTGGCATCCATTCCCACCATTGTCTGCATTCCCCTATTAGAGCACTTTCCTTGAGCGTCTACTAACTTCTCCATGTCCCTCCTCTAGCCTATGTCTGCAGTACTACAAGTGGTCACATGGGCAACCCCACCAGACAAGTGTGCACATATTCTGGATATCTCCTCACCTTGAAATTGCCTAGTTCCCTCTCTCTGCCCAGATATTCCACACCCTTTAAAATTCACATCAAAATACATCTCCCTTGAAAGAAGTGCCAAGTCCATGTCAGGTGAGCCCCAAAGGCTTTCTTAATCTTACTACAGGGCATCTTTATACCCAAAGTTTGTGTGACTTCCCCAATCCATTGTCAGACCTTAATGTTCTTGTTAAGGTGCCAACCTGCAAATATTTCTGCCCACCCCGGATGCAGACAGACCCCCGCAGTTGATGGGGGTTGTCCTATGCATGGGATAGGGATAAGCTGGCTTTTTAATTAAACAGAAATTTTTCTTTAAAATACACATAGGAGGGGATATGTAAGTGGCTCAGTCGGTTAAGTCAGTCCAACTTTGGCTCAGGTCGTGATCTCATGGTCCGTGGGTTCGAGCCCCGTACCAGGCTCTGTGCTGACAGCTCAAAGACTGGAGCCTGCTTCCGATGCTGTGTCTCCCTCTCTCTCTGCCCCTCCCCTGTTTGTGCTCTGACACTCTGTCTCTCTCTCTCTCAAAAATAAACATTAAGAAAAAAATTAAAAAAAAAATACACATAGGAAAACTCTGAGAACTAGAAAATAGTCTGTAATTATGCAGGCCTGTTTTGACCACTTGAAAAATCATACTTAAAGTGACTCCTTATGCAATGTACCTTTTCTCTGTGTTTCAATTCATGTTTACCATACTTTTTAAAGGGGCAAAAATGTGAAAGTTGAGCTAAAATCATTAAATATATTGAAAACAAGGTTTTAAATTTTCATACTTACAATCTGATTCTAAGATGGATGAATTTTTTAAAATTAAGAACAGTGCAAAAGAAAAAATAAATAATTTTATCATTCATTATTACTAATATTTTATTAAGTATTATTTATTGTGATTATAATGCCATCTTCTGTTTATTCAATTTTACACTCCTTTTTTCAAAATGAGTTTGAGGGCATTACCATAAAGCGCATATACACAATAAAATTAATAAATAGTAGCTCAAAAAGATAATCTTAGCAGAGTAAGGGGAAAAAGGAGAAACTGGCAATGTTACCAGCATTCAGTCTCACGTCTGGTTACAGCACTAGCTTCAGATTAAAAGCAGAGTTTTTGTGTGGTAAAAGACGCCCTGTATTGGGAATCTTGCATTGGCTTCACTTTATTGACTAATTATAAAACAAGCACAGAACAGTGACTTCCCACAGCTTATAAAATTCATCTTAGCAAATCTCACAAACATGTATACACAGACCTGGTGAATCGTCCCCATCGTAAGTCTCTGCTGACAACACCTGAACCCAGAGCAAAACAGTAACATACAGTGTGTGGGTAAGGGGTGGCACCTGTGTGCACGAAGGCAGGGTGCCCTTTGAATAAGTTATCCTTTTCGAAGAGGAGGAGGGAAAGGCAGAGCCCCAGACTCTGGGTTCTGTCACTAACTTGATTTGTGACCTGGGCTATTTACTTGGCTTTTCTGGAGTCATTTTCTTTCTCATAAAAAGCAAAAAGCCGAATAAGAGCATCTCCAAAGTTCTTCCAGTGCTGAAATTCATGTTTTATCAAACTATGTAAAAAAAAAAAATACATGTGTTCATAAGCCACTCCTTTTCTTACATACATTTCCTGGCCAGCCACTTGTTACATTTCTCTACTCACCACACTTGGGGGACTATGTAATTTTAAATACTATACTACTTCTAGTAGAAGGAGCATGGTCCAAGTTTCCTGATATACTTTGAGAACTTCAAGCATAAGGTCCTGTTTAGCACTGATAACAGTGCTAACCATTATTTGGTAAATATCTAAATAAAACTTAACTCATTTGAAGGAACTGTGTCAACCCAAGTTATCTACTGATAGAGAAAAAACTATACGTTAGAGGAAAAATTTGAAAAAGATAAAAGGATAATGGCAACTCAAAATTTCCTGTCCCCTTTAATACTTTCCTTATTCAAATTTTTAAAATCAAGCATCTGGCAATTGTAGACGTCTACATAAGCGAACAAATAATAATTTGATGGCACATTTAATTTTAGAATGGAATCAAGATGATGCCCACTTCATTGCCTGGTAGAGCTGTCCAGACCTTTCACATTTTTCTCCTCCCTTAGATCCCACAAAGGGCTTGGGAGGTCAACAGATGATCATAAATCCCAGATGAACCTGCTCTGATTCTTAGGACAACCCTGTCCTTTCCTGACTGTGACAGATTAGGGAAGAGACTCAGAAAGGCAAAGTGATTTGCTTAAGGCCACACAGCCAGGAAGTACCAGAGCTCGGTACTCCGTGTCTACCTCCAAAAAGCTCTTCTTCTCTCCACTATTTTATGGCTGCTTCTTAATTTAAACATTCTTCCTGATCCATGGCCAAAATAATAATGATGTCATCAAAATCAACAATCATGGACTTAAAACTAATTTTCTTTTTTTTTTTTTTTAATTTTTTTTTTTCAACGTTTATTTATTTTTGGGACAGAGAGAGACAGAGCATGAACGGGGGAGGGGCAGAGAGAGAGGGAGACACAGAATCGGAAACAGGCTCCAGGCTCTGAGCCATCAGCCCAGAGCCCGACGCGGGGCTCGAACTCACAGACCGCGAGATCGTGACCTGGCTGAAGTCGGACGCTTAACCGACTGCGCCACCCAGGCGCCCCTTAAAACTAATTTTCAAGATCTGACAAGATCCTCCATTAATAAGGGGGATTTTTCTCCCAAATCAAAACTAATCAAATAAACAAAAAGTACAACTCCACGATAGATTCTTGCTTAATTCAGTGACAAGCTCTTGCTCCAATTCCAACACAACCAATAGATGCAGGGCCAGGCAACTGGTGAGGAATGAGGACCAAGCACTCACTACCCTAAGCCTGGCTTCAGCCCACATCACTTGGCAGCTACAGTCCTATCAGGGCTGGGAGACCGAGAAGAAGGTGCCGACAGTGAAACTCTCCATGAGAGTTACGGTAAAGTGAGCAGAGTGTTTGTACATCCAGACGGGCAGCAAAGCAAATGGTCTGCACCACGCCTGAGGCAAGGTTGAATACACACAAAAGGATGGGTAGACCACTTCATATATCTAATAACTAAGCAAGGCAATCAGAATAAGAGTGATTATCCTATTCCGAAGGCAAGTGAGGACATGCCAATTATTTCTGCAGCCTCTCATGTATTTCTCATCAAGCCAAGATCATTCAATCCTATTAAACTACTAAAAATTAATATGAACAGTTGGGTTCTCCTGTGTTACAATAGGAATACATAACTTTATTTAAAGAACTAGTTTCTCTTTGTGCCACCTTCATCGCCATATCCTACCTTTTTCTAGATATGCTCTTTGTATACATCTCCAAATCCACCTTCGAGTCAACAGAGGAGGGAGGTTGACTTCTCCTCCCTGCAGCTATCACTTCCAGCTCATGATCCACAATGCTATCTCCTACCAAATTATTCAAAGCAGGCCCATCTATTGTATGAATGCCTTTATTTATATAGAACATCACAGTTTTCCAGTCTTTTCACACTGTTCTCTTTCAGAAATGCTTCATAAATTCTGAGCATCCCATAAATACTAGTGCTTTCTAAAGCAATGTTGCAATAGTCTACCACCCTCAGGACCTTTAAAACTTCCATTTCCTATGCAATTAGTTCATCATCTGCCTCTTTTCTTCCCCTGAGGGTGATGTCAGACTACTCGCATTCTTGACCCTTCTCACCCTGTGAGATGTAAGAAACACCCATCTCCTTGACTCTCTGCTCCCACCTAAGGCCCTGTTCACCTCATTCAGAACTTCACTTCTGTAGTTCTCCTCTCTCTCCCTCCAAGGCTGTCCTCACTGGACCATGCCCACTGGCAAGCAAACAGACTTCAAAATCACACACCTTAAACCTTGTCCTCCATGTATGCTGCCCAGTCAGCTGGCTCTCCTTTTCCTCCTCCCTTCCACCTCTGCAAAGTCCTGACTATACTTGCTACCTCTATTGCCCAGGTCCCATTTTCTCCTCCATCCACTCTAAGTGGGCCTCATTCCCCTAGAACATTTACAACCACCAACATCTTGTCAAAACCAATGGTGAACTGGTCGTTCTCCTCTTACTCAATACTTATCTCCAGGCATCCAGACACATACTCTGCTAGTTTCCCTCCCAGCTCCATGGCCACCCTTTCTCAGCATCTTCGGCTGCCTCCTCTCCTCCACCAATCATGGAGATGGATGGCTCTTTCCTCTCTAGGACACCTATTCTCTCCATGGTGACCCTACCCAGTCCTGTGACTTTAAACACATAGCCCAACATACCAACAGCTCTCACAGTTTTATGTCTAGCCTGAACCACTCCCTGACCTTATCCCCATTCCCATGCTTCCATTTACCCTTTACTTCCTCAAATCTACCTGGCCCTCAACCAAGGACATCAGCTCTTGTTATCTTCCTAATTTCTACCAACCTCAACAAATCAAAAGAAGTAGATGGCAGACAGGTGGGAAGGCCTAAAAGAAACCTAGTTCTAATTGTAAAAAATAGATTACAACCTTCAAGACAAAGCTAAGAAGGAAAATTTCTAGAAGTTTAGTTTAATGTTACTCTTAAAATTTTCAATGATTAAAATTATTTTGCTGTAAAATATGATTCATTTCTTACATTTGCAGTGTTTTAATAAAGAAGACTTACCCTAAACAGTAACCCTGCCAAGCTCTGGGCAAACAAGTCCTTTATTTGTTTATCCTTTGGCTTCTGCATGACAGCTTCTGTTATCCTGAGTAGTATTTGCAACATCTGTTCCCTGGGCCACCCAAAATAAAAGCTCATATTATTAATCATGTCTCCAAAGCACTTTCATTTATAGGTACAAGAAATTCTCTTAAGAATTCAGCAACATTGGTAATCAGAGTAGAAGTATTAACAATCTGAATGCCAACTATATAACGAATACCATATTTTATCAAAATAAACCACCTTATGTTACAACAGTTCTAAAAATCCTGTGCCCACATTGATTGGCAGGATAAAACAGGTATCATCCTAGCCTGATTTTATCCCCTTCAGACAGGAAGGCAAGACTGTCTCTCCAACTACACCAGTCTGTTAAAAGTGTTCAGTGAATAGCTATGCCCACATGAACTTACACAGCACCCTTAAGTTTTCCCATCCATTCTTTTACTTAACCTGTGAGGTCTCCATATCTATCTTTGTGGTAGGAAATAAAATGGACATTCTGGTCCTCATTCTGGGGAGATACACAGTCAGTATCATACTATGACTAAACTCCAGAGGAACTCACAGGTAGGGGGGTTTGGAAAGGTCACTGTTGTTCACTGTGAGGCATGGAGCTTTGTGCCTGGAAGATGCTAAGTCTGCAACACAGGGCATGAAGACACCAAATAACACCGCTAATTAGGGTAACAGCAATAAGTTGTTCAGAACAGCCAAAAGGTATTTTTTTTTTCTCACAGCTAAGTTACACTCTTCATATTAGAGTTTTTGCTCACTTTTTCTTTTCTTCAATTCTCTACAAACCAAGAACACTGTATCTTTTGTATATAAGGGAGGTCCTTTTGTTCTGAGGGGAATCACCCCTTTTAACTTCTCCTTTGAGGTCTTATACACTAACTGCCTGTTCACCTTTATAACTTTCTCCTTGGTCTACATGCTCTTTAGTGATAAAATCAGGAACTGGACAAAGTAATCTAGTCTAGGTCAAATGAACGGATCTCCAAATCATAGTTACTTTATACTTTTCGCATACCCCACATATTGAGACAGTATTTTCCCTTAACATGACATTGAATCTCATTAAGCTTCTCATGGTACAATGACCTCTAAGGGTTTCCTGACTTATTTGTAGCTGACCATTTGGTTTTCGTCCCAGGGTTATCCACTGGTATACATTCATAACTCTGCTCTAGTATTTGCCTCTGCTGCATGCTGTCTACAGGTTCTAGATGGAATAAGAAGAGCTGGCAAGCCATGGGAGATCTTGGGCACATGTGTGTGGAGTAGACAGCTTAGAGGAGAATGAGGGAAGAAATGGTGCAGAGCTGGGGGCAGCATGTCCCTCACCATATTCAGGGTACCCAGGCCCCTGTCACAGGCCCTGGTGTCACCACTGCCTGCTCACATTTATGCGATGCTTAAGACAACAAAAAACAATCCTTTCCACACGAATGGTTACATATCCATCCTATGAACATGAAGAGAACAAGAGACATAATTTTCAAATAAAACCTCAGTCATGGGAACTGCTATCAAAAAAATGCAAATCTGACCAAAGCAATGACTGACAAAGACACAGGGTTAATTTAATTTCTGAACCCATGAAAACCTGGCAAGCCATGAAATTCCCACACAGAGTCTTCTGGAAGAAAATGAGGGTGAAAAAATTGTCTCCAGTTTGGAAAAAACATTTCCTAACAGTTTTGACAGTTTTCAGTTTGGGTTTTTTTGTTGTTTTTTTTTTTTGTATTTTGTGAAACACTGACTTTTGGTCTCTCCTCCTCAAAGGAGAACTCCACGAGTGTAAAACTTCCCTGGAAGCATGTGAAATCATGCGTGTGCGCTGTCCCTGCCCTGAAGAATAAATAGGGTTTCCTGCGCTCTTTAGGACTTACTTCGTCCCCATCTTCTCACACATGTGGTACTGTTACCCATTCACACAACGCTGCTCACTGTCACTTCCACTTCTTGGCACTTCCCTGGCTACAACCCTAGTCTAAGCTGCCAGCAGCTATGGCCACAAATTTTGTGCCCCACCGCATTCTCTTCTCCAGAGGAAGTCAGAGAAATCTTCTGGAAACATAAACTGGATTGTGTTGTACCCTTATATACATAGAGGGGTAGCCAGGGTTCCTCCTGTGGTCTGCCAGGCCCCACAACCTGGCTGTGGCTGGCCCCCATCACACCCCCCCCCCCACCCTCCCTCTCTTTTCTCTGTTCCACCACACTGGCCTACAAGACACCACACTTTCAACCTGCTGTTCCTTCCTTAGGGAGCCCTTCCCTCAGAACTCCCAGTGGCTCATCCCTCCCTTCCCTCAGGGCACTGCTCATTTAGGCCTTCCCAGGCACCTGGTGAAAAACACTCCCCCACCCTGCACTCCGTCCCCTTGGCCAGCTTCACTGTTCTTAGTGCTTAATACCACTGAAATTGCTTCTTTGTTCATTATGTCTCTCAGTCTGAGGGCAGAAACCTCACAAGGGCAGGAACACTGTTCAGTTTGCCCTACGTCCTCACAGCAGAACCTTAGTAGTTATTTACTGGATGAAAGAAGGGAGGAAGGGAATTCAGGCATTGTCTGGCACTAAAATACATAAGGAAATCTGCTGGGGAAACAGGTCACACTTCTTTTTATGTTCTACTGATTATTTTTTGGTATTTTCATCTATTTCTATAAATTGGGTTTTTTTTTTAACACTTTAACCTGAAAATTTCTGAATTATTAAAGATCAGAGAAGAATTGCTTAACTTTATCTCAGAATTTCCACCAAAAAAAAATTATCAAGACAATCAAAATACTACTGGTACTAAGATATACTGAACTCATCGTTTTCAAAGAAAAAAAGCCATCAAAAATACTATTGCTGTAACTGTGCTATCGAGGAGCAGATGGTTCTGTTGACAGCATACCAGCATTTCTCATTACTCTCAATGTTACTGACACAGCATTTAACTTTGTTTAAGTCATACAGTAGTATTTCCAGCTCTAACAACTGCTTCTTGAGGACACTGGAATTTATGCCTTGAAATAATCATTTTGATTCCCATGGTCTCTGTATTAGTGAACCTTCTGCATGATGGGATTTCTCTAGGCCCACCCTTCCCTCACTGAGAAAGAAAAGGACTGGACTCTGCAGCCCTAGAGACCCCTGTCAGCTCAGTCCTGTCTCATTTCTATGCTTTCCACCAACTGCACACAGACCTTTCCAAAGTACCCCTGGCACTGACTCAAGGCCACCCAGAAAAAGCATCAGACAGGCTTGGTCACAGGGCCCACTGAGGATTTCCATGAGGGAAGTGGGCACCAGTGCTGGTCTGCAGTGGCCTCCGTGGACTGAGCGCAGAAGCCAAAAGTCACTGACAGTGACACTGACCACAGCCAGGCTGCTCCTGGGCAGGGCTGGAGGGGAGGAACACGCAAAGGACAGATCGGAGAGACATTTTACAACCAGAACTAAGAGACACGAAGAAAGGGGACTCTGAAACCCCCTCCTAAGCTGGGGTGGTACATTCACTGTGGGACAAGGGCCTGGGAAAAACCTAAGGCACTGTTTTTAAAACAGGCAATGCTTTTAGGGACATTATAAACACACAGACACCAAACAAAAACAAAGGATGAAAATGAAAACACTTCACATAAGCACATTTTCATGACGCCACTGTATTTCTGACTGCATTATTTATTTACTCATTCTGACAAGCTGTCATTTAAAATAATTGTTTTTCCAAAGTGAGTTTAAAACTTCAAATTTGAAGCAATAAAAATAAGTTAACAACATTTCAGAGCAATTAACAACCTTTCCTAGGCTTACAAAAAATGTTTTTATAAAACACCAGTTATATTGTTTCTCCACAAAACAGTCTAATGACAGCTTAAAATGGAAAAATCTACTATTAAGTAATATGACTACTTTTAATTCAGGAATATTTTTAAAACCAATAATAGAAATAAATAAACTATCAAAGTACTGGATACTTACCTTCTTCATAATTCACAGAAACTGTAACCAAAGACTATCATCTTATTGTCAACTTTGTAAAGCCATTTAATAAATGGAGGTCTTAACATTTTAATTATTATTTTGAAAAACAAAAACATCTGTTTTACAATATTAATTTGAAATAAACTTACCATGTCTTTTTATTCATTGTAAGCTCCATTATCATACGCCTAAAAATAATCAAAACAGCTTTACAGGCATCGACTTGTTCTTTCAAGAGCATGGGAACCTCAGCACATGGTTCCAGCAAAAAGACATTTGCAGCATTTGTCAAAAATACCTTGAAATCAACAAATTTTACATTAGAAAGTGTAATTAAACATATGAATCTGAACAAATTTTTCTTAAAGATAATGATATTAATTTTCCTCTACCAATGAGTCACCTTTGAGTTATTTCAATTAAGGCAAGTGGTACCAACACATACTGAAGATTTTTTTAAAATGCTTCTCTTAGAATCACTTAAACAACTGAGACCCCTGAAAGACCTTTCCTTAGAAAAAAATTATTAATGCATATTAACATTGCAACTTTAGAAAACGTATGAATCGGAAAAGGTTTTGAAGGCTTCTTTTTGACATTCCTTCATGGGAAAAGGGGGAAAAGACAAGGTAGGCTCACTGCCTCTGGGTGAGACATTTGGAGGTGGGGGAGGGGGAGAGGAAGCCGAGCAGTGGTTGGCCAGTGGCTGGAGAAAAACATCTGATTGTTGTTGGACCTCCCAGAACATGAACTCTGCTGGCAGTAAGCATGGCCAGCAGCATCCAACAGAGGTGCAGACTTCCAGGGGCTCTAGGGAGCCAGGAAATGGCCAAAGCCACGTGATCGACACTGCATAGCTTCTCGGTGCATATGTTTTTAATATGAGAACTTAATAGGTAGTAAGATATAAAACCTAAGTGAATTCTCAAAATAAAAACAGGTCTTAAAAAATTTAATCAGCCAACCACTCTATACTCTGCCTCAGACCTTTAGGATTCAAGTTCATTGTCCCCTTCTGTCAGTGGTATTTCAGTAGAAAACTGTGAGAAGCATGTATCTAGGCTGTTATGCAGTAAGTTACTGCTTGGGGCACTACAGGAAAATAACACTGTGTTACCGCTGACAAAGATGACACCAGTGACCCCTCAATGTAGGAGATTCTGAGTTGTTAGTCTGGTGATGACTGGATAGATGGATGTGCACCATCTATCTAGATCCTATGCTTTTTAAGTCTTCTTTGTATTCAATAGTACAAACTCAAAGGATCTACTTCTCTGGCTCACCTGTAGATGAAACTCATTAACACAACATCTCAAAATGGATGTACAAACTGACTAGAGAGATTAAAATAAACACACTCAAAAGTCAAGTGGGTGAACTAAAATGCTGACAACCTATAAGATTATCTTATGCAAGATTAGAAAGGTGTTATGACCCAATTTTTTAGAAAGATTACTAAATAAGCACTATAAAAGTTGATAATGGATGATAACATCAATTGCAAATAATTTACTAGCCCTCAAGTGGGGAAAAGGAAAACAAAGAAGTTTCTGACTAACCAACTATAGTGGTTTTAGTGTAATTTTAGTGGCTGTCTTTTTTGAAGTACATCATAGATGATCCATTGCAAGACAGATCCTTTTAACTCAATGTATTTGGCTTCTCGATTTGAATTTGAAACTTCGCATATTCCCAAGTAAAAGTGAGGAGTCTTCATATGTTATACACTTCTTTCATTTTATTTTTTAAAAAAGATCAAAATGCCAGGTTCATGAATATTTCTTACTACCATGTTAGTATTGGTTAAGGTAAAAATAAAGAAAGAAGGGGCACCTGGGTGGCTCTGTTGGTTAAGCATCCAACTCTCGGTTTCAGCTCAGGTCATGATCTCACTTTTCATGAGATGGAGCCCTGCGTTGGACTCTTTGCCAACAGTATGGAGCCTGCTTGGGTTCTCATTCTCCCTCTCTCTCTGCCCCTCCCCTGCTCATGCTCTCTCTCAAAAATAAATATATAAACTTAAAAAAATAAAAAAAAATAATATGTTCAAATTGTACTTGTAAACAGCAACTGCAGAAGAAGATGATCTTATCAAACCTGCCATTTGGCCGTTTTTTTCCTAACAAAGCAAGTGAAGGAGCAAAAATGTTGGACACAAAGAGAACAAAAATAGCTACTATAAAAAAAAAAAAAAAACCACAAAACCAAAAATAGCTACTATAATCCAAACTAAACATTTTAAAAATTGTTGTGCTATAATCAAGTGGAATTTTTGTTGCTTGGTTCAGCCAGGTAGATGTAACCTAGCCTTTCAGAAAACAAATTAACACTCTTCTGAACCTAGGGAGACACTGGCAGTGGAATGGCTAATGACAGCAAATGGCAACCTACTTGGAGGACAAGGGCTAACAAGGGACACAGGGAAGGGACTCCTACACGTACTTCTCTGCTGGCGGAGGGGGGAAGGGGAGGGCGGGCACAGATTATACTACCGACTGGCACCAAAGCTCTTTGAAGCTACTCAAGTAAAATCATCTTGATTTTTTTTTTTTTTGTTAATTTAAAATTATTTGCTGATTTTCATTGAAAAATGAGAAAATTCAATAGTTATAGTAAACTGCTAATGAATTTGAAGCAAAAAGGATATCATGATAAGAAATCCTATCAAGAGACAGATGACAGAAGCAGTGTCAGCAAAAACCCGGCAACACACAATCCATGCCCGTGCCATCACCAGACCTCATGCCCGGCCTCTGTGTGGGAAGCCTAACTGGACACAACTAGAAAGGTGAGTATGGGGGGGTGGGGGGAGGATGAGGCACCAGGGAGCAGAGGAAACAGAGGCACTCTGTGTTTTCACTTATACTCCTAACAATCTTTACCCTAGATGGACCCAAAAGGTAATCTCCTCATCCCCATTTCTGAGATAAAATCCTGAGGCCTGGGATAAGACTAAATGATCAGCCAAAGTTTCTCTTTCCAATGTTCCCAAATGGCATTGGTTCTATTGGTTCTATTAGTTATATATTCATTCAGGTAAATATCTAAAAACTGGAGCATTTTTTTAAATCATTCTTGGGGCGCCTGGGTGGCGCAGTCGGTTAAGCGTCCGACTTCAGCCAGGTCACGATCTCGCGGTCCGTGAGTTCGAGCCCCGCGTCGGGCTCTGGGCTGATGGCTCAGAGCCTGGAGACTGTTTCCGATTCTGTGTCTCCCTCTCTCTCTGCCCCTCCCCCGTTCATGCTCTGTCTCTCTCTGTCCCAAAAAAATGAATAAACGTTAAAAAAAAAAAAAAAATTTAAATCATTCTTCATAAACAGGCAATTTTTAAGAAGAATATTCCTTTTAAGATTATATAATCATCATGATTATCTTTCAAATTAGAGTTCAGGTCACTAACTACCCATATGTGTTCAGAAAATATTTTTTTCAGATTGAGATCTCAGCCATTTCACTCCATAACAATCCCTCTGAAGAAACCGCAACCCACTCGTAGGTCTCCTTTGACTAGAGAAAGATCTGTACAAACTGAAGGTAAGAAATCAGGAAGAAAACTCAGAGAACTTGAGAGTGGTTTACTGACAGATGGCTAAATATATCACCATACTTTATATGTCACTATCGCAATAAACAAATGTTCAGTGGACTCCAACTGGGGGCCTTTATGTCTCCTGCCAGATGCATACCTGCAGCATAGCCTGGGCCCCGGCTTTCACGTTCTTATCTTCCTCTTCTGTCACACAGCCTCTGCTCACTGCACTCGAGAAGGAGTATGTGCGTCCCCAACTGGAAGAGCGCTTATGACGGGAACTTTCCGACAAGGTCTTCAGAAGATAAAAATCAGTTAACAGAGGGGGAAGAAGTACATGTTCACATATTTAATTCCTTACACTCACTAAAATTCATGAGAATGTAGGTTTTAGTAGGGCAAAATTTTTTCCATTTTGTTCACCACCTCCAGTACCTAACTAAAACAGTGCCTAGCATTTAGTATATGCTGAATAAATAAAGGTCCAGACTGAATGAGCCTGTAACACAGACCTTTAAAATGTGTGATAAATTCCATTTGCCTATGTATTTGTTTTGGCCTCATGACTAGTTATTAAAATGATTTCACCAATATTGAAAAATTAAAACTATGGAATTAATATAGATATTTAAAAGTGATATGCCTTTGGCCACAAATATTTTTAAATGTTTGTTGTTAATTGCTACAACACCCACTTTTAGAAATAATTTATCAGACTAGATTTCAAAATAGCATGCCAGATATATAAATATGGTATTAAGTTTCTTTTGTGTGTCAGGAAGAGGTCCCACTGTTTCATTTTAGATTTCTCCAGCTACTAGCGTTACCTAACCAGGACTAAAAGTTCCATTCACACAGCACCCACTCTGAAGACAGCAGCCAGCCCTGTAGTGAGACTTATTTATGGAGGAGACAACACTCATTATTGGGTTAGTCCTTTTAAGTGTGTTAACATCCTAACTGCTGTAGAACAGTCCACTGCACGAGAAAAGGCTGCCCAATCATTCTAAATTGAGTTTCTCAAATGCTATTTATTTAAACACGTCAATACTTAGGCAGTGACATTTTCAGTCTCATACAGAAACCTGTACAATACGATGGTTTATAAAACAGCTCCGAGCAATACCGAATAATGAAGCTGAGATATACACATGGACTTAGCCTGAGGGTTAGGAGATGACCTTAAACAGAGCACAGCAGCAGCCTCACTGAAACGGGTCCTCCGGGAACTCGGCAACTGGAGAGCATCAGCTATGACAAAAGAGATCCACCTGCCTGTGTCCTACTGACTGGCCCCTTGGCTGACCAGGTATACTTTGCTATAATATGTGTATTCCCAGCTGAAATAACTGGTGATAACATATTACCTCTTTGCTGTCAGTCTCTAAAAATCCTAGTTTCTCAGCATCTTCTTGGGCAACGTCTTTTTTATCTGGTTCTTCCATGAACACAGGTTTGTCCTGGAGTATCCACTTTCGGTACACTTGAACTACCTTCCTTGTTACAGCTATGTCACAGGAAGGCAACAAGAATGCCTAAAAGGAAAAAAAGAAGACTCTCTTTAACTCCACACCAGCTCAGATCACTATAGAGCCACATAATAGACACTTCCAGTCAGCACCAATTTCAGATTTTCCTCTGAAAGTTACGGGGCCAGGTATTTTTGTGCATACCAAACTTGTCTGAGGAAAAAAAGCATTTCCATAATTGGGCCAGAAAAAAACATGATGCAACTTAAAATTAACTTCTGTATTCTGAATAAGTTTTTCACAAAATAACGACCATGCATACGTACACAGATATGCTATTTGGCTATATAAACACTATACAACTGGGAACCTTTCCCAATGAATCAAAAACCGATTATAAGACAGCCATCATACTACTGCAGCCAGCTGCAGCCAAGTGTCATCCCTCTTCCCAGCTCCACCTTCAGGGATGTTGTGCTGGTGACAAAGGGAATATTTACAACACAGAAGTTGGCAAATGCTGCCAATTTAGAGCTTTTCTTTTTTCTTTTTTTGTCTTTTCCCTTTCCTTGACTTGCCCTTCCTTCTTTCTTTTCTTCCTCTCTCCCTCCCACCCTACCTTCCTTTATTAAGAGCCAATTGTTCAACTGAGTACAGACACCAACGTTAACAAGAGCCCCTTGTGCACACTTATGTGGACTTTGTAACATTACCAAATCTCCATATACATATGCACTAAGAATTTTGATTTAATATAAGATTCCAAAAATACAAACAAAAAGCTAAAGGGAAAACGTATTTCCTTTTGAGTATCTGCTCTAAGTAATATTTCTGTCTGACGGGTGAACACAAAGGAAAAGTATTCAATACTACAACAAACACTTTCATTCCATAGATGAGGCATTAAGATGAGACCCCAAACACCTGAGATATTTTCTCAGGGTTACAAAGTTAGTTAGCAATGATTCTAGGTTTTGATATCAAGGTTCAGAGATTTAATACTGTCCTTAATGTTCACGAAACAGGATGCAGTTACAGTCAGATTACAGTGTAACAAAGGTTTATGCAATATACAAATTTCCATAGATGGTGGTTATGTCACATCAAATTCCAGAATAAAGGAATCTGTGTTACAAGACTGCAACATATCAATGTAACAAATATTCTGACTTGTATCTCAAGAAAGATCAACAAAGACAGGGTGCCTGGGTGGCTCAATTGGTTGAGCATCTGACTTTGGCTCAGGTCATGATCTCATGGTCTGTGAGTTCCAGCCCTGCATCAGGCTCTATGCTGACAGCTCAGAGCCTGGAGCGTGCTACGGATTCTGTGTCTCCCTCTCTCTCTGCCCCCGCCCCCAATCTCTGTCTGTCTGTCTCTCTCTCAAGAATAAATAAACAGGGGCGCCTGGGTGGCGTAGTCGGTTAAGCGTCCGACTTCAGCCAGGTCACGATCTCGCGGTCCGTGAGTTCGAGCCCCGCGTCAGGCTCTGGGCTGATGGCTCGGAGCCTGGAGCCTGTTTCCGATTCTGTGTCTCCCTCTCTCTCTGCCCCTCCCCCGTTCATGCTCTGTCTCTCTCTGTCCCAAAAATAAATAAACGTTGAAAAAAAAAATTAAAAAAAAAAAAAAAAAGAATAAATAAACATTAGTTTTTTTTTTCTAAAAAAGAAAGATCAGCAAAGACAAAGAAGAGTATGACAAAGTACAATGGTGTCTAACTCCAATTTTGTTCCAAAATTTTATTACAAATATTTTCACACATACAAAAATGTTGAAATAGTTTTACAGTGAATACCCATATACTACCTCCTAGATTCTACCATTAGCATTTGCTAGATTTGTTTATCACACATCTAACTACCCTTATCTTTCCTTCTTTCAATACATTTTATTTATTTATTTTTTCAATGTTTATTTATTTTTGGGACAGAGAGAGACAGAGCATGAACGGGGGAGGGGCAGAGAGAGAGGGAGACACAGAATCGGAAACAGCCTCCAGGCTCTGAGCTGTCAGCCCAGAGCCTGACGCGGGGCTGGAACTCACGGACCGCGAGATCGTGACCTGGCTGAAGTCGGACGCTTAACCGACTGCGCCACCCAGGCGCCCCTCAATACATTTTATTTTTGATGAATTTCAAAGAAATCTGCAGACATCAGTTCATTTCACCCCTAAACATTTCAACATGCACATCGCTGACTAGAGTTCAAAATTTGTTATGGGACCTTGGTTAAGATGGCGGAGCAGAAGGGGGAACCCTATGCTTGCTTCATCCCTCAAACACAGCTAGATAAATATCAAATCATTCAGAACACCCAAGAAATCAACCTGAATGTTGAGAGAACAGAGGGAGCAAAGAAAACACATCATGGAAAATAGGAGCTTCAGAAACTTAATTCCAGGGAAAAAAGAATCATGGTGCTGCAGAGGGGAGGGAAACTTGATCTCTGAAAGGAGAGAAAGAGATAGAGAGAAAGCAGCGCCCAGGGGATTGCACAAGAGAAACACTTCCCCAACACCATTGACTAAGAAAACCAGAGCAGCTGATTATTAGTGGCAAGTTTTTACACACAGCAGGGCTCTAAGTCTGAAGTTTTAGAAGTCTGCACCACTGCTGGGCAAAGCCTGTCAGGCATAGTGATGCTCCTGTGGGAAAGGAGGGCAGAGGCCTGGGAGCAAACTGTGTGCTTTGAGGATCTCCTGGGTCACACTGGGAGAGACAGTTTCCCTTACTGGAGTGCATTTGGGAGAGGCAGCAAGACTCTCAAGGGACAAAAGAGCTGGCAGGCACCAATGTGCTGCCCCGTTCATTAGCATAGGAACAGAGACACCAGCCAAGGACAGCAAACCCTGATGCCAGCTTTGAGCCACCACGTGATTGTGCAACTGCTTTTCTGGGATTAATCAGCACTAGTCACAGTGTGGTGAGATGCTCCCCAAAAGGATAAGCATAGGTCTGTGCCATGCCATGTACCTAAAATTTGGAGTTTTGAAACCTAGTCAGGTGCCTGAGATAAAACACAGGGGTACTGTGCTGCCTGGCCAGCACACAGCTCAGACACAGACAGGGTGAAGGCACGATCTAATGGAAGCCAAGGACACAGGACAGGTGATGGTTTGCTCTTCAATGAGGGCTTCCTGGACAGCGGCAGGTGCAAACTACCTGCTCAGGAACAAGAGAGTGGGGTGATGCCATTTTCATCTCCTGCCCACCAGCACTGACCAACCTCAGTAAGCAACACAGCACCTCCCGTGGAGGCTGGAGCCACTTACACCAAGCTTCACCCCACTGTGCCCTGCAGGTGCATCTTTACTAGGGCAAGTTAGCCTGACAACCAGTGCAGCAGGCACCTCCCCCAGAAGAACAGCAAAACCCCTTGCATGCATGAAGTCTACTGACCATAGAGTGCTCCAGGATCAGGCTTATTTTAACAAGCAGACCAAAGCACACCTACTTAAACATCATAAACTAAATAGGGTCCAATAACTTCACACTTCAGGTAAGGAGAAAATTCTGCAAAGGACTGACCTGAGGGAAAGAGCAGACAAAACACAATAGAGTACACACTGTGAAACACTTCCTGAAATGCCAGGCCCTGGAAAGTATAGAACCCCTTCTTAATTATAGCCATTACTCTCAGTAGCAGGAATATAACAGGCTTTCCTAATACATAAAAGAACAGTGACTTAGACAAAATGACATGAACAGAGGCAATCACCCCAAAGGAAAGAACAAGAGGTCATGGCCAGGGATTTAATCAAAGCAGATATAAGTAATATGTCTGAATCAGATTTTAAAACAATTATAAGGATACTAGGTGGGCTTGAGAAAAGCACAGAAGACACTAGAGAATCCCTTATTGCAGAGATAAAACAACTAAAAGCTAGTCAGGCTGAAGTAAAAATGGTATAAGTGAGATGCAAAACCAACTGGATGAAATGACAAGATGGACAAAGCAGAGGAACAAATCAGTGATTGAGAAGATAAAATTATGAAAAATAATAAAGCTGAAAATAAGAGGAAAAGAAAAGTAGTGGATCCACAAATGTAGATTTAGGGAACTCAGCAACTCCATAAAGCATATCAACATTCATATCGTAGGAGTCCCAGAAGAAGAACAGAGGGAAAAGGGGGCAGAAGGTTTATTTGAGCAAATTATAGTCGAAAACTTCCCTAATCTGGGGAAGGAAACAGATACTGAAATCCACGAGACACAAAGAACTCCCACCAAAATCAACAAAAGCTGGCCAACACCAAGACGTATTGCGGTAAAATTTACAAAATACACAGATGAGGAAAGAATCCTGAAAATCAGCAAGGGAAAAAAGTCCTTAACCTACAAGGGAAGAAAAACCAGGTTCAAAGCAGATCTCTCCACAGAAACTTGGCAGGCCAGAAGGGAGTGGCATGATATATTGAATATGTTGAATAGGAAAGATATACAGCCAAGAATACTTTAGCCAGCAAAGCTGTCATTCAGAATAGAAGGAGAGATAAAGAGTTTCCCAGCCAAACAAACAATAAAGGAGTTTGTGACCACTAAACCAGCCTTACAAGAAATATAAAGGGTACTCTTTGAGTGAGAAAGAAAGGCCAAAAGCAACAAAGTCTTGAAAGGAACAGAGAATATCACCACACACACCAACTTTACACATAAAACAATGGCACCAAATTCATATCTGTCAATAATCACTTTACAGGTAAATGGAATAAATGCTCCAATTAAAAGATATAGGATATCAGAATGGACAAAAAACAAGATCTATATGCTGCCTATAAGAGACTCATTTTAGACCTAAAGACACCTGGCAGATTGAAAGTGAGGGAATGGAAAACCATCTATTATGCTAAAGGGCATCAAAAGAAAGCCAGCATAGCCATACTCATATCAGAAAAACTAGATTTTATATTTATTTATTTTTGAAAGACAAAGAGAGACAGAGCGCAAGGTGGGGGCGGGGGGGGGGGGGGGGGGGGGGGTGGACAGAGACAGAACGAGACACAGAATCCGAGGCAGGCTCCAGACTCTGAGCTGTCAGCACAGAGCCGGACGTGGGGCTGGAACTC